TCTATGGCATTGGAAAAGCAGCTCTAATGAAAAAGTTTGACAACAGCGCTTATCTCCGACAACAGGCTAGGATCTTCACAGATGCTACAAGGCACGGCTTGTACTAAACTCTTTCTTTTCAGAAGAGATGCTAAATATAATTCTGCATACACTAGCCCTAAGGATATCTAAGGATCGTAGATATATATCTACATTTGTGTATTGATATGTATTGTGTATTTTTGATATTGTTTGAAAGAAATAAARCCAAATTATCATCCATTCATTCTTAACTATTTAAAGACATCCATCCCCCGACTTCAAACACGTGATGACTGATATTTGTTTWTTGAGAATATTTGCGCAATTATCAGCTCAAAAGGCGCTATTTTACTGCAACTTCCGGTTTTARCCTCGTTTTCATGTTAAAGGAGAGAGAAGGCTGCACAAAATGGCAATTTTTAAGGCGTTGCACAACTCGGATTAAATATCATTTTTGACATGTTGTTTCTGATGACATCTACTAAAGATTCGTGATGAAAGAGTTTCTGTTGCAATTTGTTCTAGGTCAAACCGTAGTTTTCATGTTTCTGTTGCAATTTGTTCTAGGTCAAACCGTAGTTTGACCTAGTGGAAGTAAGAGTTACTGTATTTTTTCCCCGTTTTCGCAAAAATTACCACAAAAAATAAAATAAAACAAAACAAAACAAAACAAAACAAAAAAAACACCAAAAGCAACAAACTCTGGGATCCTGCGGAATACCACATTATATGGTAGAGCAATAATATTCACTTAATGACTGTTCCCAAGGGAAACAAAAACTAACCGTTTCCCGAGGGAACAGTCATTAAGTGTTTTGTTATATTGGTAAATTATGTGAATAAAAATAAATCAAAACACATTGCAAGATGATTTCCAATAATACTTTATTGTGAATATAATAACTGTGAACGTCGCGACAAATTAGCAAGATGTTGAGCGTTTAGATTACTGCATTGTGCTTGAAAATAAAAATAATATAAATATAAAAATGCCAAAARACTAGCAAAACTTTATGAATGAAACAGTCAATGAGTTCCTGAATAGAAATTTAACGTGACATTTGTCCAAATTCACCGTTTCTCTCTTGTTTTCTCTGCAGAATTCTATCAGAGTCGTAGCCACAGCAGTCTTTGTAGCTTTGTTAGTGTTTTCCGAGTCTTTGTTGACAACCATTTCGTCTATTTCTTGACTAAGATTTGAAAATCTTTTTGATGCCGGCTCCATTTTGTAAACAGTCGAAAGCAGCAAAAACAATTCCCGCCTTTACAAACTTTTACTCGACGCGAGGCGGCCTTTTCCCGCCAATGGCCAAGCGGTCAACAATCGCCAAACTGTTGACCGATCAGTCAACAGTTGATTTTAGCTCCGGACACGTGACAACGAATCGTCCAATAAGAGAGCGAGAAAACAGTCAAAATAATTTACCAATATAACAAAATGATATTATTTTTGTCCTGTTCGTTCCATACACCCTTATCGAAATTTTGTTAATGTCCTGTGTGCTGACAAACTGACAAAGTTTTTAAAAAGAGCGAGCAACACTGCAAMGGGTGTTATTACGGGAAAGCGCACCAACAGCAGAGGAGGCAATGGACTAGAAGTGGCAGGTKATTATCACTTCATCGGCCATGAATTTTCGTTAAAACTGAAGAAAGAAGGCCATACTAGTCTTATCATTCACAAGCTTGTTAAACTGAAAACTTTTACACCCGATTTCAAATGAGTGCGAACTCTCGAATTTTTTTTCGGACGCTRTTAACTTTCACTCGACCGTCATTCACTCGACCACTTGGTAACCTGGCACAGCTTGAAGCGGGTAAACTAAATTCCTACGGTTTGTGATCGCACTACAAAACGAACTTATTGTAAAAACTAGTTTCGGTTTAACTTTCTCAGCTCACAATTACAACGAAACAGTTGAAAAATAGATACCGTGACAAACACTGACAAGCGCGCGCACTTTAAATCGCTTTTAGTGTTCGTAGGCTGTTCATTGTTGATTTTACTAGTTTACTGATTAAAATGAAGAGGTTATCGGACGATATTCGGTGGAGGGTTATTTACCATGAACTTATTTACGGTTCAAGCATTAAGGAAACTTGYAGAGCGTTATTTTTAGGGAAAACTTTTGTTTGTAAAATTCGACAACTTTATAAACGTACAGGAAATGTTGCTGTACATACACGGCGTGGAAGGCCTCGACTTCTCACATGTAAGTGTCATTGTAAACTTGTATTCAATCAATCAGGGTTTTTACAGTAATACGAATAAGAATATATTTACTTCTTCGAAAGAAGGTTACATTTAAACATAAGTTACTTCGTTTTCAACCTTTAATTTAAACAACGGTGTTGCAATTATTTTTTCGCTTGCTTGATAATTTTKTTATTGTAAACTTAAATTGTTTACATAACGAAAGAAAAGAAAAAATGTGTATTTTAGTTCAACATAAGAATATCTTTTCAAGATGCAGAAAACAACACCCGGCTCAAGTTCGTGGTTCTTGCAAAGCTATACCTAATTGTGCAAAGTATTATTTGCATGCATTTGATGTTTACAAGTTAATAAAGCCAAATTTAAACTACAAACCAGATAGAAAATTATATTTTTTAATCAAGTTTAGTTGATATTCTTCTAATTGTTCTCAATTGCATTGAGTGAAGTAGAATGTTCTGTGAAACACAAGGACCACAGGTATCTCGAACAAAGACCACCGCTTTTTCCTCCATAATTCTAAATGCGAAAGTCCCGCTACARAAAGTCACGCATCACTTACTAAACACGTGTGCCTGGTTACCAAGCGGTCGAGTGAATGACGGTCGAGTGAAAGTTTAGCGTTCAAAAAAAAAATTCGAGAGTTCGCACTCATTTGTAATCGGGTGTAAAATCTCAACAATAGATCAAATAAAAGTTATTGAGAATTAAGTGTCCGCTTACGGGAAATTGAAAACAAAAGAAAAGGTCAAATGTGAAACGCTAAAAGTGTCCGTGTCCGCTTACTGGAAAGTCCGCTTAATAGAAAATACAAATACAGTGTTTGTATGTGAGGAAAAGAGAGTTTTTTCTTCTTGTCGAACTTCATACTGTGTTTTCTTTCTTTGGGATCACATTTTTCTCAAATTTGACTTCAAGAACTCGAAAACAATTAGTTTTCTTGGCTCCTTAAATTACTACTACTATATCTAGATCTCTTAGGTGTGAAAACGCGTCTAATCTCGGGAATCTTCCCGCTGTTTAGATATGGGTTGTCCGTTGAAGTTGAGGTTGAAGTTAACTTTATTCTTTCTTGAAAATTATATTTGTGACTGATATCATACCTTTTGCGACATCATCGCGTCCCATAGCATGGTAGGTGTCTTGCTCAGTGTTGATCGACCCGTTATTGGCTGATGTAGTGCATGCGCCATAGGTCGCCCAACCTGAGAGAAGGAAAAAAAACGAATGCGCACACGTTAGTTTTATCGGTGCGCGCTCTCAGAAAAATGCGGGTTATCTCAGTATTACGTCAATAATTTTTGCCTCGCGGGATCAAAAACTAGTCTGTGACAAGGTATGAAACACCGATCACGTGACAAATATAATTTGCTCCTTTTTCACCGAAAAACAAAAGAAAACGACAATTTTCTTTCAAACTAGACGCATGACTGCGTGAACTCGGGGTTCTCATGTGGTCGATAGGTGATTTTATGTCTAAAATGATATAGTTTCAAGAAAATCGTTTTTTTTTTGTTTTACTCAGTAGTCGTTTGATGGTATTGATATCAATTTATTAGGGTACAATACAGTCGAGTTTAATTTGTTTTACTGTTTTTTAACAGTATTGAAAGACATACGAGTAAATTAATAGAGATATGCTATTAAAACAAGCAGCCCTGAAGTTTATTTTGGAATCCCTGTGTTGCTGTTCTTAGATAACAACTCTGTTGGCGGATTGCGTTGARWAATTATTGTACAACATCAAAAATAAAACAACACTCTTTCTAATGAGATTCATAGGTCTATGGCACAGAGGCATATCCTTAGAGAAGTCCTTTGTAGTTTCAGAGTCTGTAGAATCAGTTAGTATATAGTTCGCTTTTGATAAGATTGGTAGCTTGTTTGATAGATAGTTCACGATATAAAGTTTCACGATAAGTTTCACGATAAATTCGCGGTATCTCTCAAAATGCCCTTTCGAAAAACGCTCGACATCTTTTAGTGTGGCTATACCGCGAATGGTGTGTGGATTTGTAAGAGATTTGAGCGTCAGTTTGAAGTTGAATCCATGTCTTGCATCTCGTATCAAAGACGACACCATATAAAGATAGCACATGGAAGTTGTGAATGTCACGTGATACGTACCCAGTGCATTCTAGTTTGGCCGAGACAATTTGTGTACGACGAATACCATGACAAAGAAAGCCGAAACCTAAACTCGCGGTTCCTTTGGAACCCCGAGTAATAACAATACATCGTCAGATTTTCTAACTAACTCATGATTCTGAGGGCGAAGTGTTCATTATATGACGAGAAAATGAACATTAACCCTTTCCCTACGGCCATCGATGTTATCAGTACCAAAATCGTTAGGTGGCGCTGAAAAACTTGCTCTRACAAGAAAACTAGACAACACAAATTCAATATTGCACTGGAGAATTAGCATCAAAAAGTGATCTTGTAGCCGAATACTCGCGCGCACGMAKGGTWCTTTGACCTCTAAAATGATCAAGCTGTGAAGCCGTTATCTCGTGTTTCAGAAACAAAGCATCATATTTTCCCGCGAATTCATGGATACGAAGTTCTGGGTCGTTATCCTCATGAAAATTCAATATTTTAATGATTAAAAACATTCCTTAGTTATTATTCCTTAGTTATTATGTGTACCTAAAAGAATCTGATTAACGCTAAAAAAAGTTGGGTAATTTTTTAACGTTCAGCCAGAACTAGTACCTTAATATTTATGACTTTTTTACTAGTTTTTATTTTACCATCTTTCTAGCAAAGATCCTCGATTTCTATCAAGGGGACATTGTACTTGACCAAGAAACCAAACAACTACTAGAAAGTCCAAGAAATAACAAGTTTAAACGAAACGCTGTACGACATCGTAGATACCTATGGACATCACGCATCATTCCATATCAAGTACCTTACTTCATGAGTAATGCAATACAATACTATTATTTAACAATTATTCCCTTAAGGCAAATTGATTATCAGAGAATATTCGTCAACTTGTCTTTTTTTCTTTTGCTTACTATGTTGTCGCGCAACCTCACTTTCATGTTGTATTTTAACGAACCAATCACAGATCGAAGTAATATGATCTGCTATCTGGGACGAGCCCTTATTAGTTTGTTTATTTGACATGTTTGAAAGCTAARATACTCCGATCTGTAATTGGTTCTCTAGAATACAGCACGAAAGTGAAATTGCCTACGCTTGAGACCAGAGGCTTGGCGTAAAAACAAWCCGATTAACGGAAACGTCTCGCTGCTTCGCGGCTCGATAACATAGCAAGCAAATGAATAAAAGACAAGCCTCTGGGACCAGCGTAAGTCGCGTTGGACATTTATGTTTATAAAATAACTCGGATACTACGCGCGTTCTGATTGGCCGACTACAGTGTTTGCATGAGAGTATGTAAACATGGTTTTGACGTCACCATTTTTCAAAATTAGAAGTAGAATAGGAAAAAGATCTKCTATTTATACAAAAATGTATCCGAAAACTCGGAAACAACTAGTTATGAGCATTCTTCATAATTTGTTACTATTTCTTGTAGGTTTTGAGTGYATAGAATCTTCGGTATAAACTTAGATTAACAAAACAACTTGAAATTGGAAGTGAAAAATCAAAAACGTAATAAGYTTTTTTAAAAAAATACATCTTTTWWAAAAAAAATACATCTTTTTACCGTGTCAAGGTGTGACGGATATAATGGGAAGTCGAAAAAACAACAATTACCGTGGCCTTCCCCCAGAATGAACGAACGGGAGACAAAAAGAAAATTATAACGCTTTAATAAAGGAAACATAAATCTAAATCTAAATTTCTAATTGTAAAGTTCCAATATATATAAACTACTACGTAATCAATTCTAAGATTCAAGTATAYAGATAACTAGACCCTGACAGCAGGGTGTACTCGTGCCCTAAGGTGTTGAAAAGTGCTGTCTTATTCAGTACTTTTTTAAAATGAGCTCATTTAAAACTTTTCTTGTGTTTGACCAACCATGTAATATACTGTCTTTCTCAATTTTCAAAAATAGTTCGACCGAGTTGACGCTCTAAGGAGGGTCTGGTTTAGATGTAAAGAATAGTGCTACCAAAGACATGCAGTTCATCTATACTTATAAGAAGTAACTCCTTGTTGATTACTTTTCATGTAATATTTTAAGCAGCTTTTGAAGGAACTAGATATACAATAATTTTTGACAAATCTTTAAAAGC